TTTTTGCTTTGGAAATGACATCAAGTAGCGAAGATGGCCCGGACATTCTCACTCCCTTGCACCCATAAGGACACTTATAAGATTCTGAATTTATGTTTGATATTATGAGACATATTTAGTATGCTAAACCGTACTGCCTTTCAGGTATGAGCCAGTTCTTGTTCAGGAAATGCTCACTTTAATCATGCAAATTTTACTAGAAAGGCGATTTTGTGGGCGCAACACAGCTGACAGTTTGAAAAGAGAACTGATTTATAAGTTAGCCATTGGAGATGCCACTCACAGTCAACTAGTGAAATCTCTACCTCGTGACCTTTCTAAATCTGACCAGCTTCAAGAAATTTTAGATAGGGTTGCTATATACTCTAATCCATCAGGCTTGAATCAGGTTGGAATATGTGGTCTTTATATATCCTTTCAATATCATGGGTTGCCATGTTAATATTTCATGATGTTGATGTTATGCCAGGGTATGTATTCATTGCGATGGGCCTATTGGAAGGAGCTGGATTTATACCACCCTCATTGGAACTCGAGGGATTTGCAAGTCGCAGAAGAAAGATACTTGCGTTTCTGTGGTGTTCCAGCAATGAGTACTCAACTGCCTAAGTGGACAAAAATATATCCTCCTCTTGAGGGAGTTGCTAGGATTGCAACATGCAGAGAGACCCTTAAGATTATTCGTGCAGTGTTGTTTTATTCTGTTTTCACTGATAAATTTATTGAATCACGTGCTCCTGATGGTATCCTTATGACAGCACTGCACTTGCTTTCATTAGCATTAGACATTTATTTGCAGCTGAATAGATCTGGTGGTGTAGAACGTCATATTGGAGATTCAAATTCTATTCTAGCTTTCGCTAGTGAAGAAATTACTGAATCAATGAACTATGGTGCTGGCAAACAGTGTCTGTTATCACTACTTGTTGCACTAATGAGAATGCATCGGAAAGACAATGTAAACAGCTATATGGAATCCAGTAACTGCAGTTTCTCTCCTCTGATTGAAGGTTTATTGAAAAAGTTTGCTGGAGTTGGTTCCCAATGCATGACCATACTGCAACAACTTGCGCCTGAAGTGGTCAGCCACCTATCAGAATCTACTTCTAACACTGAGAGAAGTACATCAAGTTCAGCCTCTGATAGTGAGATGCGCAAGGTGAAAGCTCGTGAAAGACAAGCTGCCATAATGGTGAGTGAAACAATCTTGAAAAATGTCTGATAGGATGCTCTGGTGAAAGATCTAAACAATCTTGATTTTAGCAATTTGCTCCTCTATTAACATAAACTTCAATGTACTTGGCCTGTATAAAAAAATCATCTGTGATTCCTTTAAAATGAGGATTGATTAAAACAGAGTCCAATATCTCTTTTCTGAATCTTGTATTTTTGTGGAAGTGATCTGGGTTTCACCTCATAATGGGGGATTGCTACTCATTGAATTATGCCATGTTCATTTATTTTCTGGCCTGGTGAAAAAGCTTGTATTAATGCTAAATCGACAGTTTCCTGCATTTTAAGTGTTAGGTGCATTGCCTGACTGTTGATTAACTAACTGAATAGATCCTTTAAATGTGCCAATTCCTCACTGATATCTTTGGGTAACAGTGAGTCAATCGGAATGTGGAAGTTGAAGTAAAATGGAACATAATCTCGGTGTTAGTTTGTGGGTTTGAATCATTTCTGTATTCTGTAATTCTTCCTGCAGGCAAAAATGAAAGCAGAGCAGTTTAAGTTTTTGTCAAGCATCGCTTCCACTGCGGCTGATGATACAAAATCTGAAGCAGAAGTCTCTGATTCTGATTCAAAAAATGAAGCAGAAGGTGCTGTGCAGCAGAGTTGCTCCCTTTGCCATGATCCTACTTCCAAAGATCCTGTTTCTTTATTGGTTCTTCTCCAAGTAAGTGTTTAGTCTTCAGGTTATCCATTACTTTGAGACAAACAGTTTCTTCTTCTTTCCTTAAAGAATTAATATTTACTATTTCTTGAAAAAAGAAATCTAGGCTTTTGAGCTTTGTTGATAGAGGACCTTCATCATGGGATCAACTTTCAGACAAACAGCAAGGTTATATTCCCACAAATAGGTCAACCAATCAGTCTGGGTCAAATGCCTCTGCCAGCAGTTCAGGATTGGCTTCTTTTTCAGCGCAGTTGACTGAAAATTCAATTGAGTCTAACAATAATGAGCAGGGGCAAGATAGGGAAGTAAATGCTATTCTTGAGTTTTTCAAGTCTCGATTTCCTTCAGTGAGGAGCATTCAAGCACCTTTCACGTCTACTGATGCGAGGGAAAGTAGTGGCTATAGTGTGGGGAAGGTTGAGGAAGATATGTACATATCTATTTGTAACGAAATGCGTGATATTTCATTAAGCTCAAGCTTTAGAACAGATGAAGCACCTTCTGCTGTTGGATGTTCCTCAGAAAACTGCAGGGATGCTGAATCTGACATACTTGGAAAATACATTGTTGCACTTTCAAGTGAGACAATTGAAAACTCTCTGGGTAATATAAACACTGATATTGATAGAGAGTTGACGGAATCCACTTCACAGCCTCTTGTTTATGATGGATTTGGCCCATTAGATTGTGATGGAATTTATCTGTCTACTTGTGGGCATGCTGTACATCAGAGTTGTCTTGATCGCTATTTATCATCACTGAAGGAACGGTAAGTCTTCTGAAAAAATATCATTTTCGTTCTTATAGATAGATTTGCTTATTTTTTTTAACATTATTCCGAATGTCAATAATAGAGTGAGAATTCAATGGCTCATGCAACCATATACCACTGATCTTTCTCAAAGCAATTATGAGGTGTTAACTTAAAGTTTAGTTCATTGTTTGTACTTCATATTGTCCTTTTGGTGAGCATGCTTTACTACTGAAAAGTATAGATTTGGAGCTTGAATCACGTAATTGTAATTTTCCATGCCTAAATTTGTTTCCATTGAAAGGCTACTAGCCTTGTAGTCTGGGTTGACTTCAATCTCATCGTGGCTTTTATTATTGTGCCTTTAAAGGGTTAGTTTTGACCTTATAATGCCTTTTATAATTGTGATTCTGTTAGTTGAGACCTGAGGACGCCTTGTGGAATCTTGAGTTTATGATTTGGATAGGTTTTGAAATTTATTTGTAATTTCATTTATCAAGGAACCAGAAGTTGCAGAAATGCCTTTAGCTTGGAGACTTTAAATGATGCTTGCCTAGAAGTGATCTGGCATAAAAGTGCATAAGATATCTTCTTGCTCTGTGGTTGCAGATTTGCACGGAGGAGTTTCTTTGAGGGAGCACATATTGTGGATCCTAATCAGGTACTAGCTTCACAAAAAATTATTCTTATGCAAAACCGTATCTGACATTTGATGTTGACCTTGTACGTTTGTTTTTGTCAGGGAGAGTTTTTGTGTCCTGTGTGTCGTAGGCTAGCAAATTCTGTCTTGCCTGTAGTGAATGGTACTCTCCAAAAGATGGAAGGAAGCCTACGACTTCAACTGTTGATCAAATGCCTTCTTTTGGTTCTCAATCTTCAGTAAGCAAAGAAACTGGTTCACTTCTCCTTCAGCCGGGTTTATGTCTTCTAAATACCGCTGCCAAGATGGTTGGGAGACCTCATTTCTTTGAAGCTCCTTCTCTTCAAAGAAAAGAAAGTTTAAGTCAGGATCTCGAGCCTATATCTCGTGTGCTGTCTAAAATATATTTTTCGAAAAAGCGGGATAGATTCTTAGGATCTCCGAGGTTAAGCCTGCCAATAATTTTATGGGATACTCTTAAGTATTCCCTTATGTCAACAGAAATTGCTGCTCGCAGTGGAAAGACGTCTATGGCCACAAATTATACTCTTACTTCTTTGTATAAGGAGTTCAAATCTTCTAGTGAATTTATATTTTCCTTGTTGCAAAGAGTTGTCCAGAACCTGAGCAGTACAAATTCTCTTCTTGCTCTTCAAAGATATAGAGGTCTCCAACTGTTTTCAGTCTCTATTTGCTCTGGGGTTGTCCTGGATAACCACAGCACCATAAATAAACAAGAAGGTATGGTTTTAACTAATTATTGCTTTAAGATTCACTTGAAATTTGGCACATTTATGAAGAATTTTTATACTACGTTCTTGATGCTGTAGATATATTTAACAAATAGAAATCATGGTTTATCCAAGTTTGATGCTGCTTATGTGTTTTGAAGCATCTGTAGTCTTTTGATGGTTTGTGGGTTACAAAAAATTGAAATAGGTCATTGCCAAAACTGAAGCACGATGATAAAACTTCCACTCATTCTAAGGAGATGGCCTTTGGCTACTTAACCAATAGCAGGGATAAAGGGGCGTAAGAGGGAAGAATGTTCTTAAGAAAGTGAAGGAGGGGACCACAATTGTCATATGTGTGTGTTTGGTGTGTTGGTGGATGTTTGTCATATTTTGCATTAAATGTACATACAACTATAAATTGTCTTCCTTTTGGATTCTTGTGCTATAAATTGGACTCTTGATTGTATGTTGACAGACAATCTTCTTCGTATCTTGAAACAAGATGATAAGGAAGCGTTATATCCTGATATTCAATTATGGAATCGGGCATCTGATCCTGTTCTTGCTCGTGACCCTTTCTCGTCATTGATTTGGGTTCTCTTCTGTCTTCCCTGCCCCTTTTTCTCATGTGAGGAGTCCTTGTTATCCCTTGTGCATCTCTTCTATGTTGTCTCTGTGATTCAGGTTTGCTACTATCACCCTTCATGTAGGTTCCTTTACTCTATTAGTATGATTTTCTTTCTGAACTTTCTGATGTCCAACATGAACAAGAATTTTGATTACAGACAATGTTTCTGGTCAATGAAACAATATGAAGAAACATTGACACTTCTAAACTTCTTGGGAAATATTTGTATGATTTTGTCTAAGAAACATGTTACGCATCTTACCTAAACCAATTGGCAGTAGGCGAAGAGACCCAATTTGAATATAACGACCACTGGAAATTGAAAACTTAACCTTTTTGAAACAGACCACTTTAATGGGCACCAGCACATGTAAGTGAAGATGGAGAACCTACCATGTGACATTCGGAAGGGGTATTAGGCAGAACTACATGCAATAACAACATAACATAACCTAGGGTTTGATATGATAAGAATCCAAGCTAAAACCAATTGGCAGGTGGAGAGGCCCAACTTGAATATAAATATCATAGGCAATCCAAGACTTCACTTCAGTGTGATATTTTTTCCTTCAGGATTTGTTTCAAAGGACAGCATTAACCGTTTGAAATTTTCCTTAAAGCAGTCATGTTCTATGAATGAAAGTATTAGTCAATATAATTTGGCACTGCAATAAAATTTCTGAATGTGATTTTGCTTATTTCAGGCTTTAATTATATGCTGTCGGAGACCTGGTTGTAAGATCAATGGATTAGATTCTCATCATCGTCTAATTACTGATATCTGTGGCGTTCTTGGAGAATCTGACTGTGCTCACTGGTATTTTGTGTCAAATGATGTTGATCATTCTTGTGATATTAGAGAAATGATTCGAAGTTTGAGTTTCCCATACTTGCGGAGATGTGCTTTGTTGTGGAAATTGCTCAACTCCTCTGCCCGGCACCATTCTGTGATAGGGATAATGTGTGGGAGTTGTCTCATGTGACAACTGATATGATGGATGCAGTTGAAAGTACTTCAGTGGAGCTTGGTGAAATACAAGAACTAGAGAAGATGTTTAGATTCATCCTATAGATGTTGTTCTTGAGGATGAAGTCTTGCAATCATTTGCACTAAAATGGTTTCATCACTTCAAAAGGTATATGGAACCTGCAGTTTCCAAAATGTTTTCTACTGCAATCCGGCAGTTCCATTTAAGTTGATGAACCTGCCTCATGTTTATCAAGACCTATTACAGAGGTTTGTTCCAATATCCGTTCTTAGACATGCCAGATATTGTTACTCTTTCAAGAATATGAAGTTCATGAGAATATATCCGTTTCAACAGGTACATAAAGCAGTATTGCCCTGATTGCAAATCTACACTTGTTGAACCTGCATTATGCCTTTTGTGTGGTAGATTATGCTCTCCAAGTCGGAAATCATGCTGCAGGTTAATTTTCAACTTCCTTTCTTTTGCTGATTCTGTGCTTAACGTGTGCATTTATCCATGATTCTATGGTATTTTGTTTTTTTAGATTCTTTAGTAAATCTATAGTACAGTCAGTACTGATATCTTTCTTTAATATTTGCCTTATTAGGGAAAGTGGATGCATGGCTCATGCAATGAACTGTGGTGCTGGTATCGGTGTATTTCTGTTGATAAGGGTATTGATCACCTAGTTTTTGCTTGGAACTTTAACCTATTTGCTTTAAGTGGCTAATAGTTTTTTACTGTTGTAACAGAGAACAACGATCCTGCTGCAAAGATGTGCACGTCAAGCTCCTTGGCCTTCTCCATATTGGATGCTTTTGGTGAAGAGGTAAAGCACATACTTTTTATCAGCAAAGTTTGTAGCAATCATGTATTTGGTAACTTGAGGTTGAAGCAGATAAAATATTGGTTAGTATTAAGTGTAATAGAAACAGACATATTGCACTTTCAGCGTCTTTTACTGTAACCTATGAAGGGTGGCTAGGATTTTGTTATCGCCTTATTAGTATCGGCCACACTAGGTTAGTAATTCATGAGCCTTGGGGAATTTAGCACCAAGGATCTACTTCGTTTGCAATTCAATGTGAAGGGACTTGGGAAATTTTGAAGGGTTGTTAATAAAGGTTAATCTTTTGATTGAACCTTAAAATTTTGAGATTCTGGAGCTGGTATATTTTCGTTGCTGTAAAATCATATGTAGAAGGTGAAAGTGTCCCTTGGAAATTATTCATTTTGTTGGAACTTATATGAGATACCAGAATTCTTAATGGTGTCATGGCCCTGAATCTTAAACTTTAAATTTGTACATGTTTGGGTTTCTTATGATCTATTTGTGATATTCTACGTCACTTCCATATTTTAGGATATTGAAATGCATAGAGGAAAACCACTGTACTTGAACGAGGAACGTTATGCTGCTCTAACTTACATGGTAATTTCTGAATCCTCTGTTTCCCTTTTATGTTTGTTGTCCATGACACTAGAGGTGGTTTTATATTTTCCGATGTCCATGCTTGTAATAATATGTTATCTCATTAATAGGTTGCTTCTCACGGTCTTGATCGGAGTTCCAAGGTTCTAGGTCAAACAACCATTGGTACCTTCTTCATGGTTTAGCTTGGTTTCATGATCAAGGTGTTGGTTAATATTTGGCTTCTTTTTTATTCCTCTATTCTATAGCAAGACATCAAATTGCTTAGAAAATGGTTCTACAAAACTGAAGGTTGCCGGTATCTGTAAATGACTGCACAAACTAAGGGTCTCGGACAACGATGATGGCATGTGCCCGTTTTAGCTGGACAACCCGGTAATCAGATCAGTTAAGTAGATCGAGTGCTTTTCTTTTTTCTTTGCCATTTGTGTATTTTTTACTCTTTGTTAATGAAAATGATTATTGAATCACTGGATTTTATGGGAGACGGTCTCCATCGGAGTTTTTAATCTTGTTTTTATTCAGCACTTCCTCATTATATTTTCTATTATTTTGATGGGTTTGTAATATGCTGTGTACATAGTTGTACATTTTCAAGAGATCTCAGCTATTCCCGTATGTTTCTGGTTAATTCAACATGTATTCCATTGGATTTAAATGTGAGAGGTATGGAGATTTAAAGAAACCATCTTATAATTACCTTAAATTATTAAGAGATATATAAATATTTGCATTTTAAGTTGTGACATGATTGATGGGGCCGAAGTTGTTAATGTTCTACATGGTCTGTCACAGCAGTTAAAATTCTCTAAAATCACATCATTAGTGTAGTACATATATTATTGTACCGAAAGCTAAGCTAACACTCAAAGAAAGGCGAAGGCAGTACAATCGTCCGAATCTGCAACAAATTTACATGACCCACTAGATTCTATTTGTTACACTGTTCGTAGCCATTCTCACCGTAGGACTATCAAATTGAATGATCGTAGTGGTTACGGAATAGGGAATGGGATTATTTTTTATTTAAATTGTTGAATTTATTTTAAAATACATATTTGTCTTGATTAAAATTCTGTATATAAGATATATTATTCAGGTGAATTATTTTTTATGTAGATATTTTACGTATATTCTAGTGAAATAGATATTTATAGGTGTATGATACCAACAATCGTCGAAAGGTTTTTCATGATTCATTTTAGTTAAGGTGTTTGTGATACTATTTTACTCTCTTATAATCAATATAATTTGTATTTCCAAATCTTCATAGATGAGCCTATGAATCATCTTCATAATAGCATGACTTGAAACTTTTATTAACAATTTTTATTATCCCACCATTGTCCACCTTAACTTCAAGTCTTCGGATATTGAATCTCCGAGTGTGATAGATAACTTCATATATGGCCCATAGTTTAGCTAGGAGAACCGAACAGCTTATATATAAAATAAGGTTATATTTTTTATAAATAATGTATCATAAAATAAATTTAAAAATACCGTTTATCTCCTTGTGTTACTTGCTTATCCTTAGGGTGCGTTTAATTCACGGAATGTAAGATTACAAGTGGGAATAACAGATTATCAGGGAATAGGATTACTGGGAATGTTGTATTTTGTGTTTGGTTGGTTTAGCATGAATGTAAGATTACCGTGCTTGTTTAAAAGAATAAAAGATTATTGGAATGTATATTTAACCAATTTGTATTTATTATATATTTATTTTTTTAACAAGTTGAATTCTACTATAATATTACTATAATTAATTTATATATTTTCTTTAAAAAATTTAAATTCATAAAATTTATATTAATGAAAGGGTAAAATTTTATTTAAACCCCTGAACTTCATATAAAATTTTAATTATAGATTTTTTTGTAAATCTAAAATAGTTTAAGGATAAATTTGTAATTTAACATTCGTAGAATTTTTATTATTCAATGACAGAATAAGAATATTTTTTTAAAAAAAATAAGGGCATCTTAGTCCAAAACGCCGGTAAGCCAACAATACCTAAGGGAAGGGAAGTAATGACATCCCCGATAATATACCAAAAAAATCCACTGTTGGTAATAAAACATTACCGGAAATGAGATTACCGGCCAACCAAACGGAGGAATATGGATTCTATTCTGCCAGTAATCCCCGAACCAAACACGCCCTTATGATTTTATTTATCTTTATAGTTTATCTCGTGATACATACATGTTCAGTCTTTTTCAGTGCCTAATCAAATTGCACATTTCATGGCTCGCTGTCAAAGTCGTATTCTTTTTTATTATTTTCCACCCTTTAAAATTAGAAAAAGGAGGAGTAAACTCTCTATATAGTTGATGGAGTTAATTTTAAAAAAATGTTGATCTGAATTGGATTTTAATTTATTTGTGAGATTAAATTAATTTTAGATTTAAGTCCAACAGCTTTCCATGGAAATCAAGTGTCATAGAACCCAACTACTATCTACATAAGATATATAAAATATCTCCTGAGATAGCAGAGACGGTACATCACTTTAGCATTTGCACACACAGAGCAACCATGGCCGTTACAAGCAAATCCCTAACGAGAATTTGCTAATAAAACAAGCAACCAATGGCCACTTTATTCTAAAAACTCAGAAAACGCACAACTCCAAAGAAGAAAAGAGAAACGCCTGACGCCTCTCTTTTGTACTCTCATTTACAGTTGCAAGGGTTGCAGGTGCAGTTGTCTCCACACTTGCAGCCGTTCTCAGCCCCAACTCCATCTCAGATCCCTCAAATTGCCTGCATCAATCAAACAAAAAACAGTGGAAAAAATTATTTTTAAAATCAGAATTTTGCTTTTCTTTTTTGCTTGTTTTCATCTTTGTTATACGTACGGTTTCTGGGTGCCACGCCAAGAACAAGAGTCTCAGTTGTGGATTTCTCCACAAAGCTCATTTCCGTCATGTTGGGTACATCTTGCATCTGTATAAGACAAACGATAAACAAAAGGGTAAACTAATTGAATTACCCTCCGCAGCCAGAGCCGCACTTGCAACCGGATCCGCACCCACAGTTTCCTCCACAGCAAGACATTTTCACTGATTTGAAAGAGAAGAGATTTCAATAAGATGTACGAAGAAGAAGCAAACACTTGAGTGAATTGCTGAGGAATTAAGGCCTTTGAATTTATAGAGCGAAGGGACGACAGAACTTGAATAACAACCGTACACGCGTCATGATATTACGTCTTGCTTATCCGACGAGTACCGTTTCAATTCAACGCTTACCTGCTCTTTTTCAAAGTTATCTTTATCTGTCTATATCATTTACTATGTTTAAGATTCTGTGCCAATAATTTTTTTTCAATAAAGTGTGTAAATTTTAAAATTTTATCCCAAAAAAAAATCAGTAAAATTACTTTTAATTTTTTATTTATTTATCATTATCTAACAATAAGTATATTACGTACCAAAATTCTATTAATATACTAAATGATTTTATAATATAAACTCAATAATTATAAAATACAATAATGAAAATTCAGTATTTGTTTTTTTAAAAATTTATCAAATAATCATTTAATTAGCCAGAAGAAGTTACTTTACAAAATTTAATTAAGAATTTTGTCTGTGCAAAGTATATTATCAATAATAAATATTAAAACTTATAAATTAATTTTAGTTTTAATATGACACATTAGTTTAATTTATGTAACTATATATATATAAATTTTAATTTAATTGTCTAAAAATCATATATATATATATGTCATGTTTATTTATGCTTAGCCCGTTTGATTTATTTATAATGAGAGTAATTATATATTTGTTAACTGAATTTTACTCTCACTCTTATTTTACTTATTGTACTTTAAATCTTTTCCATTTCTAAATAAACTTAATATTGAGTTTTTTGATCACTCGGTTGTTAAATAATTAACGACGTTAAAATGAACTGTTATATAGATGTTAAAACGATGTCGTTTTGATAAAAAATGTTTGTTTAAAAACATCATTTTAATACCATTAACTATTTAATAGTAAAGTGACCAGATATGAGAGTAAAAATCAGTGACAAAAAATTAATATATTAAATTAGTGAAAAATTTGAATTTTTTAAAGTTTAATGAGCGAAATAGAAGAGAGTATATTCAGTGATTAAATTTGTAATTTACTCATTATTATTTTCTCTACTGTTATCTAAATTTTCGGTGAACTACCCTAGAAGTCTAGCTTGTCGTTTTCTTAATTCTCTGTGCGTCTTTTCGGTCCAGTAATGGGTCGATTCAACGGTTATGATATGGGCGGTGGACTTTCCTGAGTGCTTTTGATTTCCAAATTCCAATCATGATTATACTCTAATTTATTTTATCAATCAAATATTTTTAATAATTAAAAGTAATTATAAAAATATTAGATTAATTTTTTTAATTTTTTAATAAATACAATCTACAAACTTAATTACGCGAATTTAAAATTTCTATATAAAAAATATCATCTTTTATCATTGAAGTCACTCGATATATCCTCAATCAAACATATTTACATATTTTAAATTTTAAAATTCTTTATATATTTTTTCTAATTACTCCAATTGTGCAACACCATTTATATATTTTAAATTTTGATTAATTTAGTTCAATTAACGGTTAAAAAAATTGGTTAATAAATTTAAGTAGATCAGTTTGGTCGGTTAATTGAAACAATCGATTAAACACCTTTACCAATTTTATTAAGAGTAATATTTTGGTACCGTATCCAATCTATATTAATATTTAATGTTGTTAAATTAAAAGAAATAAAAAATGAAAAGAAAATTCATTTTTGATGCTTTATGCAAAGTTTAGCTAAAAGGGTGGCTGAGGGCCGAGGGCTGTTCTCTCTCTTACCTTAGAGCTTCAATCCCTCGGCTGCATTACAACCTTTACTTCTACTAAGAAGACCGGATTCATGTGCGGTAATAATATTATATTTAATTGTTTAATTTCGATTTTCGGAGCTGTTAATATTAAATTTCATTTAAATTTATAAACAATTATTCAAGCATGTTTAGACCTATTTACATTTTATTAATTTCTTTTGACATATTTTTTATTAAAATTTTAAATAAGGATCTTAACATAAAAATTATAGTGTCATCATAATAAATAAAGATTTAGTTTTTCATATGATATAAAACTACACAGTACATATGAATAAGTAATTAAGAAATTGAATAAACATTGGACCGGATTAAACCTTGAATATTAAAGTCCAATCCTACTTATATTTTAAAAGAAATGATCTTCTGTCTACAACTACTATATCTTTGTTTGATCAATACTGCTATCACTTAATTCGCGAAGATACTCTTACCTTTAAAAAGATGTACAAAATGAAATCCTCATATAGCAGCAGTTTGGTGGGGGTGGGGGAGGACTAAAACTTGGATTGATCAGGTCCTTTCAGCTGTAAAGGATATCGGCCCTTGATAACCACTTATAATACCAATAACTTATATTCCCCCATCGATAGCTGGATGTTTCAACTTTTATGAAACTATAATCCCATAACTCTATAACAACACCAGTTGAGTTGCAGATATGTATAACAATCTGATATAGAAAAGGCTTTGTTTGCAAGAAACCCACTGCCATTAGGGATGAAGTCTCAACTGAGAAGCAGAGCATGCAATCTCTTCATCGGTGGTAAAAAATACACCAGACATACATTAACCCATTATGTCCCTGGTAATATCCTCACTCACCAACCATTATTTTCTACCAAGATATTAACAATGTGGTTGATTCCTCAACCAGCAATCATAGCCATTGATTCCATGATGATTTAGCCGCACATATGTTAATTTACTCTATTGGTCCTCTACATAATTATGCTGCAACTTGTTTTTTGGTTTTGTTGTCTTTCTGCCTACTTTGTTGCATAAATAAGAAAGTGTGATGGTCGGCAAATCCCATCGAGTATCGGCTGTGTGGTGGGATCTCGTTACTGGAAACTATGTATACCAGGGGCCGAGTTTCATCTTCTTCCACCCGGTTCTTGTACTAAACTTTGTAAGGAGTGTCGTAATAGTATAGATAATAATAATTATAAACTTACTTTAAAATATTCATGTAGTAATTCTGACTGAATTATTTGAGTATATAATTATAATTGTATAATATCCACTTACATAATATAATTTTTTTATAATTTTACACTCACTTATGACCGTTGGATGAGTGAAAATAGATAACTGAAATTAATTAATTATTTTTTTAGTGAATATATTCTCATTTTCTACTTAGTCGTCTATTTTCACTCATCTAATGATCTTAATGTATAAAAAAAAAAAAAGATTATATTTTGTAATTGGATCCTCTTTCTCTAAATATTATTAGCACTTTTAATTTGTTGGGCATAAAAATCAATTTTGTGTTAATGGGAAGTCATGCAACAAAATGATAAAATAAATAATAATAAAAATATATAGTTATAATGATTTAAATGCTATTGATTAGATAGTTTAACATCCAAAGTTCTGTGTGTAAGATTAAATTTGTTTTATATATATATAAAAAAAGGATTATTTGATTGATACTATACTAGAAGTGCCGTGTAAAAAAGCAGTGTCATCTAGCAATTCTTAGGTTTTTTTGGGCCAAAGTTTCGGCCTAATTTAAATTATTTTACTTTACATTTGGGCTGAGAATATAAAGAGGGGAAGGTGGAAATGCCAAAACTGCAATATTTTCCAACTTCCGGACTATCACTTCAAAATTTTATGCAATATATTTACATAAAATTAATTTAATATATGTAACTTTTTTTTTTGAAAAATATCTATTTAAATTCACGTATATGTGTAAAATTATTTTATTTAAATTCAAATTATTAAGAAAGATAAATTCTTTTTAACTACTGCCTTCACTTCAAAAATTTAGTATATATATAGAATTCTAAATAATTAAAATATAAGATTATTTTAAAAATATTATTAATTATTATAAACTCGGCTGACTATTCTCTTTAACAACAATAACTAATATTACTATAAAAAAGGAATAATTAATATTATTAATAATTTAAACAAAATAATAATAGAATTAAAATAGAATAGCTAAAATATATTACATTAAAACATAATAATTAAATTATATATAATCAAATTTAATTAACTAAAAATAGTATGTCTAAACATTAAACAGATAAATACAAAGTTTAAACTTAAATTATTATTATTATACTTTAATTAACTTATATACAATTTTTTTGTTGACTTATATTGAGCGATCTATTAATCATTCAGGAGAAGTTTATGAAACGTCATATACCGAATAATCAGTCATAAAATTGTGTGAACCATCGGTGGTGTCCCTAACAACCTCTCAAGAGTTAGAAGATAAAATTTCATGACCAAAATCACAGCTAAACGTTTCACAAACATAATATTTAATTGCCAAAATTTCAATGGTCTACCCAATATTAATAAATAACACTTCCGTAAACTTTCAAGCTCTTGGGAAGTTCAAAGGTTATTTCGCCACCAAAAATCAGAAAAGCGCCATTACCCTGACTTTGAGGTTTCTCCGACTCCCATATATACATTGGTGGCTGAAAATATGAAATATGGATGCATCCCATCAAACAAAAGTGAAACATACCTCAACAAAAAGCCAAAAGAAAAAGTCGGTCAAATTACATTACGGAGTAGTGCTAATCAACATCAGTAATATACATGTTTTGGCCACTAAAGAGTGTGAGGATTTGTGGCTGAAATGATGCATGAAAATTCCAACGTGATATGAAGATGGAGTGGTTTGGTAAAAATCAATTTGTTTTGGAATTTTCTTTCTTTTGGACGTTGTATTCCTTAATGCACATATTTTGGAGGGCTTACTTCACAGCAAAGGCAACAAACAAAAGGAGGAAGTAACATTATAATATCATGGGTGGGTCTTCGCAATTTATCCTTTGTGTGTTGATGGCAGGCAACACAAAATCTTTTTAAGGTTAATTTAAATTACATCTGTTTATGGATCAAATCAACTTATACTTTGGATTTAAAAGAAATTTTCAATTCAAATTTGAGTTTAGAGTTACAATTAAATTCATTTTGCACATATATGCATAAAGTATAAAAATATA